TTATTTATTTTAATGACTGAATTGCAGAAGTGCTTGAGATTTCTTTCTTTCGAATTCTGCTGGTAACCACCATGAATCATGCTATACTGCCAAATAGTGAGTCATCGAATGGCTCGACTTATGGAGTTATCCACACTTATTCACAAATAGTGTATTGACACGTGTTCTACAATAAATACACTTTAGACAGGTGTGAATATATTAAGTTGTGTATGCTCTATAGAAAACCATCCGATGACTCCAACTTAATTTACGGAGTGAGTTGCCCAAAAAAAATACATGACAAATATCAATTACTTCTTCTAATGATTTAGCAAAATCAACAGTCATGAATTTGCAAGCACATAATTTGGTTAACAGGTTGGTAAACTAATTTGGTAAAGTAGATTAAACTCATTTCACCACATATAGTTACGTTCTATTCAGTCTTTTAACTATACTTTTATAAAATTAAGTTAATTAATAAATTTGACGGTCAACCCTTTAAATGAAGTTAAATTTGCTCATTTTACTTCAAATCATTGAGATCGAAGCTAGAGCTGTTAAATGAAATGAGCTGCTCGTGAGCTTGACGCGGTTGAGTGAAGTTAAATCTGCTTATTTTACCTTAAATAATATAAATTGAAGCTAGAGCTGTTAAACGAAATAAGCCGCTCTTGAGCTCGACTCGGTTGGGCTTGTAATGCTCTATAGTTCAGCTCGTTCGATGAATGAGCCGAACTCGAGTTAACTTAAAGCTTGCTTCGTTATGAGTCGGGTTAGACTTGACTCAATAAGGCTCGTTAAAGCTCAAAATAAAAATTCTAATATAATTTTTTATAGTTCGACTCGTTGAAACTCGTATTGACTCAAACTTGGCTCGTTAATATTGATAAACAAGTCGAACTTAAACTCATTTCTTGCTCGTTTATTTAACGAGCTAAACTGGGCTCTGTCCGAACTTAAACTCATTTCTTGCTCGTTTATTTAACGAGCTAAACTGGGTTCTGCTCGATAAGAAGTCAAGCTCGATCTCGAGCATCCTGAACTCGAACTTAGTTCATCTCGTATACGGCACTAATCGATGCACAATCAATATTGTGGTAGATTGTACCACAATATCACAATATGATTGGTATTTAGGGTGAAATGTCTTAAACTAGTTTTATATAGGGTTAATATTCAGGCCAATCACAGCACCGGTCATGACCTCGGTTCACGCACCGTGCTCGCAAGGTAACATTTCTCAGAGCAATTATATGCTGCGCCCTGCGCCCCAACAATAAATATAAATTAAGAACGCGTGTTCCTAAATCATCTGCAAATTTCATCCTCTCTCTCAGTAAAGATACCATCGACCAAACCCTGAAATTCGAGGAGCTCATCTCGTCGATTTTCCGATTCCAAAGGGAAAAAAAAAGCGAGATTTCCTCACCATCGCCTCCGATCATAAACCCTAATCCATTACCCGTGATTTTCCGCAGGTCCTGTTACTACCTGATTTCGCCAGATCTGACCTCGATTTCCCCAAATTGCACGTTCTGTCTTCGATTTTTTCGATTGAATTTTTCAGATTTGTAGGTGTCCAATCGAGGCCGTGTACGCCGCTAATGGTGGGAATGGGTAGGGTTTACCAGGAGACGGCGAGGCCCTCTTCTTCCTCAGCGTCGCCGTCATCGCCAGCCGTGACGACCTCAACGTCGGTAACGGAAACCGTCAATGGCTCCCACGAGTTCAAGATAACGGGGTATTCTTTGGCGAAGGGAATTGGGATCGGGAAGTATATGGCTTCTGATACGTTCATGGTTGGTGGGTACACGTGGGCGATTTATTTCTACCCCGATGGGAAGAGCGTGGAGGATAATGCTACGTATGTTTCGCTTTTCATTGCTTTAGCCAGCGAGGGCACAGATGTTAGGGCTCTGTTTGAGCTTACCCTGTTGGATCAAAGTGGAAGGGAGAGGCACAAGGTTCATAGTCATTTCGGTCGAGCATTGGAGAGCGGTCCCTACACTCTTAAATACCGAGGCAGCATGTGGTGGGTTTTCATTTTATGTTGGTGCCTGGTTTCTGTGGAGTGTGTGTGAAATGTTTTTGGAATATGAGGGGTGAGCTCTTGTCGTGATGTAGATTTGCCATTTATCCTTTTCTCTTAGTGTGTGTGGCGTATATGCAAGCATGGTCTAGTTGGACAACAGATTGTAGCTGTTTGAGTAAGATTTGCTGTCTGTTTTTCGGTGCTGTGTACTTTCCGTTTTGCTTACTCCTTCAGTGCTTGATTGAATTGTCTTGCCTCTATTTAGGTGGCCCATCTGACATGTTCGCCTTAATTAATCTTACGACCTTGTGAATTTTTATATGCATTTGCCTTTCTGTTATATTATAATATTTGTTATTAGCGGTTCTTTTGATATTTTGTTTTTTGTGGTTTTGGGGCTTTAAGGACCTATCAAGCCTCATATGATTGCTGTGAAACCCAGAATATGTTATTGCATTTAAGGATCTTATATTGTTACTCAAATATTCGTGGCATTATTACCTTCCCTATGTTTGGTTGCATTTATAAGAAAATTATGTTCGTTATGTATTTCTTTACTAGCTTGAACCATGTTCAGCTTGTCATTCGGTAAGGATGCACTCTAGCTGCACTATTTTTTTTTTTATTTTTTATTTTGAGAATGGCTTGTGGCTATATTCTACTGATTGTGACTTGAGGAGCTTGATGAATTGTCGATGATTTTGTTTTTTAGTTACGTGCTAG